ATATATATATACATATATATACACATATATACATATATATACACATATATATAAATACACACATATATACACACATATATATATACACACACATATATATATACACACATATATACATACATATACATACATACATATATAATTTTACAATAGTGATTTGAGGTTTTTATCAATGTTGTGGGCAACGTTATTACGACAGGCGATTCTGAATGGAGTTTGGTGAGACCTATCCATTAAAGACAAAACAGCACAGAGCACGGTCGAGCTAAAATGCTTAATGCTCTGAGAACGCTGGTTAGTCTATAGCTGCGCAATTGTCGGATTCCTCCAAAGAACTTTCGCTTTTGTTCCTTTTTGTTCCTTTTTTTTAACAAAATAAAACCTCTGTAGTGAACAAGAAATTAGCAAAAAAAAAAACAACAACTTATTTTTATATATATACACACATACATACATATATATATATATACATATACATACATACACACACACACTTTCTGTTTGGGATATATTTATACTTACATTGTATGTTGCTGTTGAATGTCCTTGTTTTTCTTATATTTCTCTTATTTATTGTATATATTTCATGTGTGTGTATGTACGATGAGAGTAATGTGTAACCGGAGTCAAATTCCATGTATGCGCACGCATACATGGCCAATAAAGCCGATTCTGACTCTGATAAAATCAATAATATTTGAACCAACGTTCATGTTTGAGTGAGTTTCTCAATTTGTTTTTAAATCAGATGACATGTTTAAGAATCTGTAATATGTTTATTATTTACCCATAAAACTTGTATTGTTTTTCCAGGAAATTACTTCAAACTCCAAAACATCGTTAAGAAAACCGACGAACCGATGACGTTGTGAATAAAAACATGCATTTAGATTTGATGGGATCTTTAAACAAAAGTCAGAACTGTAGTTTGGGACATTTTCCAGTGAAGAGACGAAGCCGTCGGCGTTCTCTGGTGTAGAAACAGTGTCATGACGCCTCTGATCCGACCACAGAGACATGAAACCAGACTGTTAAACGTCCGTTTGAGGCGCTGGGATCAGTTTCTCTGCAGCACCGCATACCAAACATAGCCAACACACTAATCTGCAGCTCAAAGGATCTGTGCACTAAACTGTCCCGTGCACGGTCAGGGTGTGTTAAAGATAAATATAATTAGATGCGAATCTTTGTTTTGATGCTTAAGTAGTTAGTCTGCTATTTAACTGAATGTCCACTCACTTCATAGTTATTTAGATTTGTGTGTATTAATTCCTTTTATTTATAGTTTATAAAGTTTAACTTCTGCAGCTGCTGTGGTTTAATCTTTGTCTTTTCTTACTTCAACCTGTCTGAGTCCTGTTGAGCTTCTATTGATCATTTGGAGACGATGCAGAAACACAAAACAGGAAAGAAAATACGGATGTTAAACACACGGACCGTCAAAATCTACAGGAGAAGTTAAGGATGTTCTAAAACTTAATTTAATAAAACTGGTTTCTTTGAAAAGTATTTAAATGAAAAGTTTGATTTGAGAAGGGTCAGTGTCCAAAACCAGAAAACAGGATTTTATTTTAAATGTTTTTAACACAAACTTTGAAACACACTTTGTCCCTTTGAAGGAAGAAGAACCAATGAGTTATTGTCTCTACGCTTCACTTCCAAGAAACATTTAAACTCCACTGATGTGATTCAGGGTTAGGGTTAGCCTAACCCTTACCTGCTCCTCTAAGCTCTTCATACAGGACGTTTCCCGTTATACTACGGTAAACCTCCCGTAGTATACCGGGAAACCTCCCGTAGTAAAACGGGAAACCTCTCGTAATATACCGGCAAAACGGGAAACCTCTCGTAATATACCGGCAAACCTCCCGTAGTATAACACGAAACCTTTTACAGGACATCATCGTGGACTCATCCGATCGTTGTGATGCTCCAAAAAAACAGTCAGTCTGGTTTCTGATTGGCTGTCGGTCTGCAGGTTTGTAAACAACGATCCGTTATCAGTTCAGTTCAGTTCGTCTTCACACAAATAAAAAAATAAAAGCAAAAACGTTCCCTTTGTGGTGAGCAGACAGATCGGCTGACAGACAGACTGGCAGGTCGACAGGATATCAGCAGTTAACACCTAAATTTAAGTCCCCTACATTTATCATTGATTATCAGTTTATAGACATGTAATTAAGGGTTTATAACACACTGAAGTGTTTATTGTTACAAAAGGTGATCCTGATCAGAGGCCTTTAATATTGATTAAATATGAACCTGACAGACCAGCTACCTGATCCAAATACTGAAGGTCGTGATTCATTGATCAATTTAATTATTGATCCATTTAACTGGAGCTGTTTGTGTTTACATCTGGTTTGATTGGACCGGATCAAACCACCTGATGTCCTCAGATTAAAGTGTTGTAATAAACCAGTTGTTACATGTTAATAAACCAGTTATTACATGTTATTACTGTATTAAATCATTTTCAGTAGACGACTATCCTCATCCAGCTGCTGACCTCTGACCTGCCAGCCTGACCTCTGACCCCAGTCCAAAGTCTGAGACCTCCAGGAGTTCTGGTTCAGGTCCTGTGGTTCAGGTCCCGTGGTTCAGCGCTGGCCGGTGTAAGCTCTGAACCAGGAGGTGACGGAGGCAGCAGCAGACGAGATCATCCCTCCTGTGTTAGCAGAGGGCTGGGACACCTGCAATGCACTCTGGGAAAGATCCATGGACTGGAGGAGAAGGAAGAGGAGGAAGAAGAGAAATGTTATGTAGCTTTAATCATAAAAAATTATAAACCCAGTCTGACTCTACAGACTACAGACCTGAAACCCGGTCTAACTCTACAGACCTGTTCCTACCTGTGATGGGATGTCACAGAACCGAGGACTGGGCACCGTCTCCCAGTCTGTCCCCAGGTCCGTCTCCTCGTCAGTCACAGCCTCGTCTCCGCTCTCCTCCGCCGGCCCGGCAGCCTCTGGCTCCACAAACTCCATCGACTCCTCCAAGTCGGCGCTCACCTCAAACGGACCCGTTCTGGACCAGAACCAGAACGGGGACAACAGAGACCAGTCAGTTTGTCTAATCAGAGCTTCAGAATAAACTTGATCTAAGACCAAACAGACCTGCCCAGGTTGTTGTTGTCGGGGGAAATCAGGAACATGATGTTCCTTAGAGTGTGATGAGGGTGGAGCTTCTCACTGTCTACATGCTGAAAACACAGAAGAACCTGGTTCAACTTTTACTTCTCATTAAACATTTAGAGTCTCACAGAGTCTCAGAGAGTCTGACCTGTGAGAAACAGAGGTGCAGGATGTTGGTGTTGAGTTTGCTCAGGGCTCTGGTGAAGCGGTATCGGCTCAGATTCTCTCCACAGAACTCACTGAAGAACAAACAAATCAGACAGGTGAAAGAAGCTGACGCTCTGTTTTACCGACGCTGTGATGTGGGAGTGAAGGCAGCAGCAGCAGGTGTGTCCTGTCTCACCTGTTGCAGAGTTTCTTGGGCAGGTTGACGTCCAGGATGTGAGAAAGGATGGTGACGAGCTGTGTGGCGTAGCAGAGAGCAGCGCTGATGGTGTGGGCCGGGTTGATGTGGTCCAACTCTGTAGAGATAGGGGGTCAAAGGTCAGAGGACAGACAGACAGGAGGTCAAAGCCCCCACCCCCGCCCCTCCTCACCTGGGCCCTGATTGGTGCTCTTCTCCTCCACCCAGCTGTAGTAGGCGGAGCAGTCTCCGTTGCTGGGCAGGGCAACGGGGGGTCCCGTGATGCTGATGCTGGTCTCTCCGTTCTGGTCGTCCCAGATCCAACGTCCCGACAGATAGGTGGTCCTCCGGGCCTCGGCCAGCTCGCTCACCGTGCTGGAGGTCAACGCGGGGTCGCACTCTGCCACCACGTCTGCGGGGTCTCTAGGAGACACACGAAGGGGCAGAGGACAGGTGTGTTTGGACATTTGATTGAAAAAACCCGATTAGTGTTTCTGTCCAGATGTTCGCAGTGAGCCAGCCTCTGAACTTCTCTGGACTCTGCGGACCTCGGGTGCGTGCGCGCGGTCTCTGGACTTGGGTGGTCTCACCTGCTGCCCTGCTTCTCCTCCTGGGTGTGGAAGATGTGGGTGGTGAGCTCCAGGATGTGGTCTTGTCTCAGAGCCGCCAGCTGGCCCAGGCGTCCCTGCAGCTCGCGGCTGCGTCTCTCCAGCAGGTCCCCCAGCCGGCGGTTGTGACGCTCGATCTTGTCCCGTTTCTCCTGGTGACGTCCGGCCCGACGCTGCAGCCGCTGGCTCTCCTCCTGAGAGCGAAGGAGGAGCTCCTTATCTAGAGGACACCAGAGACCAGGAGCATGAAGGAGGAACCGTGACAATAACAATACTAATGATACAATAATGATAATGATAATAATAACAATAATGTGAGGAGTGTCAGATTGCAGACCAACAGAAACCATCAAGATCAAAATAATCATTTTTCTCGGGCCTCTTCTTAAAGTTTGTATTCAACATAATTCCTTTTTTATCTCAATGAAATATAACCACATATTCATATAAGACGCTAAAGGACAGTAAAACCTGATACACGGAATAAACAATATTTCCTGTGCTTCCTCTGTGATATGCAGATGAACATCTGTGAATGAGGTCAGTTTAAATCTGTACATTTCATGATCAAAACTCACCGCTCTTCACCTCCTCGTTGCCCCTGGTGATCGCCTCCTTCAGCTGCTCGATCTTCATCTTACATGACATGATCTTCCATTTCTGAGAGGAAGCAGCAGTCACTCCATCAGCATGATAATAATAATAATACCATATATACACATACATATATATATATACACATATATATATATATATATATATATACACATATATATATATATACACACATATATATATATATATACACA